CACCTAATAATTATATAATTTGTTTTTAATTTTGGCATTAAATTCAAATTTCTGGAGCCGTTAAAAATTTTTAAAAAATTCTAGAAAAACGCCTTTTAAAGTGTTATAGCAGAAAAAATATTTTTCGTAATGGACACATTTTGTTCTGTTATTGTGAATTTTTCAGGTTTAAAAAAGTCGTGAGACACGTCCAAAAAAATTAAAAAACTGAGTTTTTTGGCGTTTTTAAACTGTCACTACGACAAATAAGTGCACAAAAGGATCCGTAAAACCTCTACTAAAAATGGGTTTTTAATAATAGTTGTATTAAGTCTCTATTATATTTATTTCTCGTGATAACATTGCAGATACAGTGGTATTATGTTTTCATATAATATTGTGTTTTTAATTTGGTGTAAGAGATGTAAAACAACAATTTTTTAAGTACAAATAACTTATAATAGTATTTTTGTAACTAAAAAAAGCGAATTACAAGTGCCATTAATGGTCAATCGTTTTTCTCAAAAATAAATTTTTTTTTTTTTTATTATTTGTAAAGTAAGTTTGTTAATTTCCACAAATTGAAAAATTATTTGTAATAAAATTATAATAAGGAATCATGTCTTTAAAAGAGTAGCTGTATTGAGTAAGAAAAAGTTTTTTTTAACGGAACTTAAAAGTTATTTAGAACAAAAATACTAACTTGTAAAATATACTTCAGGTCGAAACAGCAAAAATTCAAATGGAAAACGACCTAAAGCAGACTAAATTAGAACTGGAAAATCTCAAAAATTCAACATCATCGAAGGTATCAGATTTGTTGTCAGAATTGGCCAATTTGAAGAAGGAGAAGGACAAACTGACGAGCCAACTGGAAAAAGAAAAACAAACTAAGGACGAGGAGATCGAAAAATTAAAAAAGAAGAACCTTAGACTGGAAAAGGCTGGACTAAACTCGAAAAAATTGGAAGACCTTAAGAGCACGTATGAAGAAAAAATAGCAAGTAAGCTTGCAGTAATAAAAATTTGAAAAATATATTTTACACGGTAAAATTAAAATCAAATTATACTCTAAATTCCCGTAAAAAAAGATTTGGAAAACGAAGTCAAAAGAGGAACGCGTCAGTACGAGGATCTGAGTAGCAAACATGAGAAACTAACCGAGACGAAGTCCCAGCTCGAAAAGGAAAGCCAACTTCTCAACGGGTAAGTGTCTCGTGAAAATGAATTGCCTTTAGAAATTTACGCAATCGAGCGATGAAAGGAGAGGAAAAAATAATCCATCTATTCGCGTCGCAGACAACTAATCGACCACAAGCAGGACTACATAACTCTGCAAGCGGAACTGCAAGAGCTTCGTCAGTTCTATAGGCTCAAGGAGTCCGAATGGCTAACGCTGAAGTCGCGCCTCGAAGTAATTATGCCATACATTTTAACATCCCTCAATATAATATAGATTGCCTCTTTTTTTATCGGCTTTCACACTATCCGACAATTTATCATCGTTAACAAAATAGCAGACTTTCATTGAGTTTGATTTAATAATTGTTCAAGTGTGAAACCAAAGCTTCTTGACTAATTTTCTCTTTTTATTGTCTTTGTAGGCAAGTTACTGCAGTATCACGTAGAAATTCACGTGAAACGAGAGAAGCTTGTTAACTTTATGTGCTAATTCGTTTATCTAATCGAAAACCTAACAGATTATATATCTAGCATAACTGTAACATTTAATCCAATAATAAAATCGATAAGTATACTCAATATAATAAATATTATATACGTACTCCAGATTTTCCCCATTAGGTTTCCAAAGGTAGACTAGACACTCCGAACGACAAAAAATTGATTGATTAATTGCATTAATCCACCACCCTACACTGTTAGTTTTTCAGAAATATTCAACCATACATTTATAAAATTCAATCACATCAATGATTCTCACCACACCCCATGAGATCAGAGACAATTAACTTTGGCACGAAAACTCCAAATTAACCATTTATCTGACATTTCCTCTTTGATAGTACATGTATGACAGTGTGAAATCGCCTTGAGCGATAGGTACCGGAGAGCTAAATTAATGGATACAGTTCCCGTATACCTACATCAATAATTCTGTCTGCGTTGCAGGAACAATTGCGAGAGTACGAAAAAACGGCGAATGGACTACTGTCGCAAGACGATTTGCGGGAGGAAAATCTCAGGCTTAAAAAGGCGAGCAGCTCGATGACTCAACAAATCGAGGACTTGAAGAAAGTTGTGAGTACACGTGGACACTGAGCTGTTGATTAATTTTTAGACTTGCATTTTTTTCCGCTCCCTCGTGATGAGCAATAAATCGCTTCTTTGCAGCTTTGAACTAAGTTTGAAACTATACTAGTTTCAAAATTGTAAAATTAATCTATACTCCTAAATACAGATAATATTAAATTTTTAGAGAGACTGTTCACGTAAGTTGGATGTTAGAAATAATTTAATATAATTTTTGTTGATTGGGCATTCATTTTAGAATCAAGATCATGTTTACTTGCCCAAGAAAAGGAGCGATGCAAAAAACTACAAGAGGACCTGAAATCTGTTGGCGACAAGGAGACGAAACTCGCAAGGACACTAACTACGGTGAGTAACGTATTATGCAGCTGTTAGAGTTGTCATTTATCGTAGCTTTGCAATGGACACAAAATGAAATATTTTACGTACACGTAATTAATATCTGTGCTATTTTCTTTGAACTGAAAGTACATATTTTCCAAAAACGTGAATTTTCTTTAGTGTTTTTAAATTCTATTCTTATTTATGTGTTTACAGTAATATCGGCGAAAAAAGTTAAATTTTATTCAAGTGATGCATTTTTTTTCTTATAAAAAAGTCTAGCCAGTTAAGGAAAGTAAAAATGCTCCAAAGAACTTTACTTTAAGTTTGCGGATCAGAAGATACTATGTAAAGATGTTCATGTGCTTAATTTTAGGTCTCTACACTACTCTCAGTAAATTTTTGTTAGTAAAAGGTTTGGTAAAAATATCTTTTACAGTTTTTTTTTTTTTTCTTTAAATTTTTTTTAATTTTTTTGACTAAATNTTTATTTTAATTTAATTGAATTAAATAATATTTTAAAAGCCAGTTATCATTAATAAAACCAAAAATAAGCATTTAGTCTTGCAGTTGTAACTAAATCCATAATCACAATTAATGATTCATTCGGGAAACAATCAAATGTTCTTGAAGCTATTAATATTCAATTATATTTCATTGTTTGGTCAAGTTCTAATTATGCAGTTGCAAAAAAAAAATATTGAAGATTACTCGTTACGAACTAACAAATAGATGAAACAATAGATAAATTTGTCATTTTCATTTCGTCTTCAAAAATGTATAGTACTCTTTAAGTTTACTGTCACAAAAAAGCGATTGGAGCTAAAAGAAATATCTACTCGAGAAACCCTAATGTTCATAAAGATTTTGTCATAATCCACAATCAAAGATCCAAGATTATCTAAAAAAAAAAAATGAAAAATTATATTCACCAGAACGACGACCTAAGCGGCAAGCTGCAAGACTACACGCGGGTCTCCAAGGTCCAGCGCAACCTAACAGCCGACAGTTCGGCCCTGGAATCAGAACTGCGCAAAAGTAAACTAGCACTGGAGAATGCGGAAAAGTTGCGGAAAACGGAGCTCGCTCAGAGCAAACTACGCTACGAGCAGAGGATCCAGGCAATCAGCGACGAAATCAAGAGCATACAGGCGCAACTCACGAGGTACAAACGCGAGCGCGACACTTACAAGCAGATGCTCGAAGGAGCACAAAGGACGATCGGTGAACTCAAGAGCAACGCCAGGCCCAGGAGACAATCGAACGCATCGACGGGCGCATCGACCGAGGTAAGAATATTAATCGTAAGATAGAAGACTGTTTTTTTTTCGTTTTTTTTTAATAATAACTATTTCTACTATATTTTTTAAGGACGAGGAGGTGTCGAGTGCCATTCGAGCGCAGCTAGAGAAGCAGATCGTCACGATGGAGGACGAGCTGTCGGAGACAAAGCTTGAGGCGTCCAAGCTGAAGACGGAACTCGTCTCCGAAAAGGCAGCCTCGGAGATTAAAATGGCCGAGCTGCAGTCGAGGGTCAACGAGGTATGTATATAGTCGTCTCACGACAAAATGGTGAGATTTTTTGTGGGAAAAAAAAAAAAAAATTTTATTCACAGTTGGAGGAGGAGAGGCTGTTGGCTAGCGGACGAGCAAAGATTCCAGGGCTGAAGGTGCGCATGGAACTGGCCTGGCAGAAGGAGCGCGAGGACCAGCAGAGGCTACTGCAGGAGACGGCGACACTGGCACGTGACCTCAGACAGACGCTCTTCGAGGTATGCATACCTTCTTTTGTATTTAATATAAATTTTAAACACTGTTTTTTCGATACCGGGATAAATTCCTGAAATCACGACCGAATTTATCCAGCCACTCGCAGTATTTCACAATTTTTTTTTTTTTTTCGTTGTCGAGATGGACAGACCAAGTCAGTTGCCACTGGATGACAAGCTCGTCCCATTTTTGGACCCATATATTACAAATAACCAAGTGAATACATTCTTGGTCGCATCGAAATATCATACGACGAATGAATAAACGATTGCACCCATATTTGCGCTCATTTGATCCCCGTAGGTGGAGCGAGAGCGGGACAAGGAGCGCTTGGAGAACAAGAGGAGATCCGAGCAAATGAAAAAACAATTCGAGGAGGAAAAGACCGAGAGCAGAAACCAGTTCCTCGGGGTGAGTACTGCTCCCAGTAATTTTCCACAAAACCCAAGCGTACGACGTACGAGCAATGACAAGCTTGTTTTCATCCAACGCCAAAATCAGCTCCAAACCGATCTGATCGAGCTGAGAGACGCCCACGCGAAGCTGCGCACGAGCAACGAAAAGATGCGCCGCGACAAGCACAAGTACGAGCAAGAGATAGACGACCTGCGGGGCCTGCTGATCAGCAAACGCAGGGCCGAGCAATTGGAGGCGCGCAACTTGAACGTCCTGCTGCAGCAGGTGGATGATCTCATGAGGCTATTCCCGGAGACGAATGGTAACGCGGATGACGGGCGCGGCAGGCATGAGTTATACACGCCAACGCCGCCTCGTAGGCTCAAGGGACCCAAGTCGAGGGAGTCCTCGCCGATGCTGGAGTCGAGGGAGGACGTCAGTCGAGGTAGTGCGTTGAGCCGGCAGAGTCGGGCTCATTTGAGGGGTTGACGTGACAATTGTTTTTGCAGCCTCGTCGGTCGCACCGGCCGGGAAGACGGAGAAGCTGGAGTACACGATAAAGAAGCTGATGGAGGTCGCCAGGGAGCTGCAGGAGTCGAAAAAGTCCTCGGACGAGAGCGCCGGTAGGACGAAGAAATCGAGCAAACGGTGGGTGTAAACATTAAAGTGTGTTTGTGCTCCTGTATACAGAAGTAAATTAATTTCTTTCTTTCTTTTTTTTTTTTTTTTTTTTTTTCTCTGTAGGTCTTCGTCCATTGAAAACGATGCTGGGAAAGTGACGGGTCGCTCGAAACCGAGCTTGAAAAGGAAGAGCCTGTCACTGGAGCAAACGACCGGAAGAGGTGACCAGGTATGCGTATGAGTCGTTTTATCAAAAATATACTCCAAGGTGCTTTTGAAAGTTGAAAAAGTTTGTTGTAGAAGTCACGCATTTGGGATTTTTATCTTATAAAGTATTGATAGTTTTATTTTCTTTTACACCAGTTTCGAAGGAAGAAAATCTTTTTTTCCGTCGTTTTTTGTGAGCCTGTCGATTCTCTTTGGCTTAGAACAAATGAAAAGACGAGTTATTTTTTCTAAAGTAAAATAAAACAAGAATTTTCACAAATTTTGTTAGGGTGTGAAAAAGAAAAATCAAGTTCTGTACACATGAAACGTAGTCAATGGCTATCCTCTTTCTGATACTTGCAATTCACGTTTGCTTTCCAGTCTATATGGGGAAACAACAGCAACAGCAACGTCTCGAGCCTACAGTCGTTGAACGGTTCGGAAATGAGTACTCGGCACGGTAGTCTAGTTCGAGACGCGAGTATGGAAAGGTTCGTGCGATCATTAATTTTTTCAAATTAAACGTATGAATTAAAATTGAAATGTTAAAACTTGTCCGTCTAGCCAATTGTCAACTGAATCCACGCAGAGCGAGATACTCGACAAAAAGCATAGCAAGGGAATATTTCGCAAGATGACGACGAAACTGACGAAATCGGCGAGCCTGGACGATCCATCTTACGACTCGTCCCTTCAGGTACGTGAATACCGAAGCTTTTGACAATATAACGATGCTCATGTTGTAGCCCTGCATCAAGTCATTATATTCTATATGATGAAAAATATAACAATGAAAATTCTCAATAAAACAATTGACAAGGATGAATCGTTTGTGTGCTTTTAGTCATATCGACTGATACACTTTTTGGAATAAATCGCTCGCAAAGCTGACAGGACTAGCTTCCATTACTTTTTTTCTTCTTCGTTTTGTAAACTAAAATCGCAATTATGCTTTCGCTTATCTTTCTTTTTTTTCTTCTTTTTTCTTACTTCAAGCAAAAAATTTACCAATTAGACATATACATTAGACATGTAAATGTAAATACTTAGGCTTAAGTATCACAAGGAAAAATACACACATGGCTCATTTTATAAAAGTTGTTTCAATTATAACCAAAATACGTGAGTAACTGAATTGGCTGTCAAGTCAATTTGCCATGATGAACCGAAGAATCATGACGTTCAGATCATGTTTCACACATATAATAGGTAAAAAAATTCATACTCAAACTGTACCCATACTTTTTTTCTAATTCATATTTTGTCTGTAAAAAAATCACCTTTTGTGTGTTTTGTCGGAATCCCCCTGTCATTTACTGTTTTTATTTAATTCTTGTTAAATGGAAGTCTCGGTTTCCATTTTTTCACTAATATTTATTTTATACTCTAGCATGATTGTATTTTATGAACAATCAATGATCACAGCATATACTTAAATAATATGTGTTACATTCTGAGAATGTTTGAATGTATTTTCACGCCTTGTTATCCTTCGTTCATGCATCTGATCATTGTTTCTTTCTTACAACTGTATAAAACGTACGTGAATATATATCATGTCATTTATAATTATTAATGTAACCTACAAACTTCTAAAGAGTGTTAAAAATAATATATTAATTAATATCAATTCAGACGGTTCATGCATAAAACTAGTCTGTACAATGAAAAATAAAATTTTAAGAACTGGCTTCTAGAGATACAACTAACACTTGGGCCTAGTAAAGTTTATTATTATATTTATTAAATATGATATGAGATAAAGTTTACTATTGGTACTTTTATCATAAACCATCTTGGATATAACTTAAAGTTACCCATCACTGAACAATCTAAGACAATCGAATTTTGAATAAAAAACTTTATCTCGTGACTCGCTAATCGTTCAAAAAAAAAATTGTCCAATCCCAGTGATTATTATTATAATACAACTTTAATACAATACATGTCTAAACATATTAAACAAAATCATATTCGTTACCTTATCGATTCCGTTTGAATTCCCCATCTTCTTCTCCAGACAGGAACACAAATGTAGTACTGGCCAAACTCAATAATTTTCTAAACTGTTGCATTGTAGAGCTCGGGATCCGAGGCGAACCTAACCGAAGCACTGAAGAAGGATAAGAAGAACCTGAAAAAAAAGTTGTCGGACATGTTCAAGCGTGGCTCAAAAAGCAACGGGTGAGTTTACAGTTTCCGCATGTTATTTCATCACCTTCTAGCTCACTTATTTTATTTATTTATTTATTTATTTTTTGTTTATATTTCATCTGGGTTTGTTAAAATTAAAAAAAAAAAATATCATAAATACAGGAAACTTTAATTGAAAACAAAGACTTTTGGCGTGGGTACGGAGACTACAGGCTTTGGAATACATGTTATGTGGGTACACCCATTGTTTTCAAACTTTGTTTTCATTTTGGACAAAGATATGCCAAGGAAGCCCGCGTAAAAAAAATACTTATTCTTAAAAAAAAAGCCCCGAAGACGGCACTTCAATCATTTCTTTGAGACTTATTAACGAAACATTGTTTTCAATTTTATTGCCGCTAAAAATTGATTAGATTGTATTTTTATCTGAAAGAAATTTATCAAAAAACTTACTACCATTCGTAAAAAATAAAAAAATAAATAAAAAAATTGAATATAAACCCTTATGATTTTGACTAAAATTATGATACAAGACACATTATCGGTTTTATAATAATAAGGAAAAAAAATTTAAAATATCAATTCCAAAATAGAAAAAAAAATCTCTCAAAAATGAAT